TCATCCCCTAGGGAGGCAAGCAGCGTACACCGCTATGCCGCGGCGCTTCATAAGCGGAGCGCCGCGCCTCATCAGATAGTCTAACTAACGGCAAGACTGATGATTTAGATATTGCGCTCTGGCCTTGCGCTCACATTCGGACCTTAGCGAATAGTATTAGTAACTAAGTTTTCCAGAGAAGTGTCGAACCTTAACACGAAGTACAGCCTCTCCCACACTGGCCATAGCCCGTGTTACACGAACACAAACACATAATCCAAAGTTAAACGTTCATTATGCACAAAACAAAACGACAAAGAGTATCCAATTTTGGCAAATTCAGTATGTACATTACATATGGGATATGTCAGCGGTCTGTCACTGTCTACTGACCCATGTGGCAGAAGCGGTGCACAGATTGAAAACAATTTCAGAGGGAGCTGCAGTAGCGCATGCGCATCCCGGACGCGTCTGCTCTGTGAGGGCCGCAGCAGATAGAAGCTGGAGCTCTAATATTCGCCGAAGCAGTGACTGACAGAAAATTAGTGGGCGCAGAGGGCAGAGCACGCAACACCCAACTTTAAGCGGGAGCTAAATCGATTGAAACGTAAAATGGAAATCGAAGTAGCTGAATACCGCAATCAGAAATGGGATAAATTGTTATCAGGCCTTAAACCTGAAGATAACTCACTGTGGAAAATGTCTCATATGCTTTCTTGGTCCAATTTCAGTTGCGCTGCTTCAAACCAGCAGAGGAGAGTACGCCAAATCGAACGGGGCGAAAGCGAAACTCCTTGCTAATGTTCCAGAATCTGTTTCAGCAGGTCGGGGAGGCGATACTGCACGTGTCGAATACCGGTCGCCGATACCGCACGTAGCTGCAGTAGCGCATGCGCATCCCGATGTCGAAGCGCAGCAAACGGTATATGCGGCAATTCACACGCCCGCCGACGAGCATTTCACGACGAGAGTTTCACTACAGAAACAGAAGTCAAAGCGGCCATCACCGAGTTCAAAGCTAAAAATGCTCCCGGCCCCGACGGCATCTCTAACGACGTCCTCAAGAAGCCCACAAACGGAACTCGCCCTGTACACAGACGATACCGCTGTAATAGCCACGTCGAAAATATCGAGCTTCTTCGAAGTACTTGGATCAACATTTATTACAGATCCAGGAGTAGCTGAAGCTGTGGCGGGTCAAAGTCAATGTGAGTAAAAGTGCAGCTAAACTCTTCATACGGACACAGCGATTCACACAGCCGAAACCGCTCGTGCTATGCGGAGGCACGATTCACTGGGCAAAAAAATTAAACATTTAGGTGTCACTTTAGATAGCCCACTTCCTTTTAATCTGCACATAGAGAACGTGCGGAAGAAAGCGCGGCAGACCAGAGGCAGATTGCGAAGCTTGACTCACAAACTGACCACGGCAAACTGCCTCACGCTGTATAAAGCAATTATTAGATCGCAAATGGACTACGCATATCCCAGTTGGACAATTACAGCAAACACTCATTTGAAAAAAAACTGGAAGTAGTTCAAAATGATTGCCTCAGGACCACGCTCTGCGCCCCTAGATATATTCCTATGAAGGAGTTACATCGCGATTTATCAATGCCACTGCTGATTGATCATATCAAAAATATTGTGTTTATATTTACGAAACAGCAGCTGACTCGGAAAACTCTATTTCCGAGATCGCCTCATGCTAACCCGACCAACGGGTGAAGTATAGGCGACCGTAGCACTTGCTGGAGCACGAGTAATCTGAAACTGTGAAATGAGACTTGAAACATATTTGTATTTCTGCACACGCAATGCGCGCGCCAGTTGTCTAAAGTCATTTTTGACCCTCTGTTTTTCTGTATGTTGCAGGATTGACCATAGATTTATTTATTTACGTCAAAATCAGTTAAAAACTGTGTGTGACGTGCTATGGGGAAAAGTTAATTTGAAGTTACATTTATGTCCAGAAGCAAAACAAGGAGCCATCTCATCCTTTGCTCAAGGATCAGAGAAACTGGACGAAAACCTGATCGAGATGGATGTCATTGACCCAGAAGCTGAAGTACAATACTTGTTACAGATTATTTAGAATTATACAATCCAACTGGTATATAATACATTAAATGTCGTTGTTAAAATTAATATTACTTTCCTTTTGGATGCTCGTTATAGTCTCTAATTGTATAGAAACAGTTGTGCAGCAGAAAATATTTACTTGGGATTTAAACTTTTGTATCATATTTAATCGTTTAATGTCATCTGGCAAGGTGTTGGAAAATAATGTACATGTATTATATGTGAATTTTTTGTAGTGAGCTGTTGATACTGTCACCTGACGAATATGATTACTACGTCAAGTGTTGTAGTTATAGACAATGGCGATTGCTGAAAATATATTCCCACCCTTAAGTAAGCCATTTTTGACAAAAACCACTGATTCATATAGATGCCCGGAAGGGTAGGAATGGTTTCACTGCAGTGACGTGAACGTGCATTGCACGTCTCGTGCGTTCACAAAACTGCATAAATGTTCGACTCGTCAAGCAGTCAAGTTTGGAAGTAGTATGTGTCAGCGGGGTTAACCTGCCTACCAGGGTAATACTTACTTGGATTTTGGAAATAAATTGTTTTGTAAAAACTAATTTGAAGTTGTCAAATTCTTATTTAGTAAACAACTCTCCAATCAATATTAACAGACAAGACTGTTCATTTTTGTTAAAGTTTGGTAAATTTAAATTGATAGAACTGGCAATAATATTTCAAATTTGTATTACTTTGTTCTCTTGGTACGTGTTTAAATAGGTTTATTAACAGTAAATAAGAGAAAATGTCTACCTATCTATTATTTGATGACTTAATTGAAATATTACAATGAAAATCTTGAAGAATTCATTCCCTTTCCATGTTTTAAGGTGATGACTTGTTTCTGCCATAACACACTGAGCTCGATTCTTGTAAGTTTGAAATGACCTTTATTATTATCGTCCTAGCGCTAAGTTCAAATGGGAAAAGTCAAAAATTCAATGAACAAATGGGAAAAAATATCCCATTCGGGTCGTTAAAATTGGTGTTTTTTCATATGCTGTTCGTGTTAAGACTATGAATTGCTGTAGTTCCGCCTCTATCCATCACGGCCATCCTTCTTAGACATCCTTCTCTACGAAAGTCTCGATGCCGGAAGCCCACCTTCCCCGTGGGCGAAAATTATAATAGCTGCTACACGAAATATTGTCCGTATAATTCGAAATCACATGTCAGAAAGTTAATTTTACACTTAAATTATTATTAAAATACCAACATATGATACATCATTGTATCCCTCTTTTCATGATCTATCCATTGCTGGTGATAAAAATATATAGCACCATTTAAAAAATTAAAGAGATTTAGTTTCTCGAAAATAAAAAAATAAACATTTTATAGACATTTTCTATACGGTAATTTTCCTAGCCCCATAATTCCGCATTGTTCAGCGAAAACTGCATTTCGATAACCTGAACCGTTTAGAAGTTAAGGATGTGGTCCATAGTTACTGAGACATTCTGTATATATGAAATGGAATTAAAATCAAACGGAGGCGTATTTCTGCTAACACCCATTATGTTATAAACTATTTGCTTAACATTTCATTGATACAACCTGCTGAAATAGCTTTTGCGAGAATTCCTAGAGAATGACTTCTTCGATAAGTATACTACGTTAATTGGAAAGGCAGTTCTTTATAATCACATTTCAGTACAAAAGTAATTTAATAAAAATGAATTTTTTAGAAACGATTATTGTTTGTATTAAAAAAGTTGTCTTAGAGACTAGTACTGCATTTTATACATTATATTTTCTCGTTTGAATGAAGTAGTGAATGTGGAGTTTTCGAAGCGTCTGGTGTCTTGTTCCCTGATCGCCATCTTAGTCAAGGGACCATTGCAGACGGAGGTTCTAGATTTGAGTAAATTAGTTTGTCCCTGCATTCTCTTCAATCATGGTTGTAGGAAGATTCGCTAATTCTGCGAGGAGTATTATGACGTCTGCGATCAGACGTGCCCACGATCATGGTGGAGTACCCGGCGCGGTAATGGTTTTATGCAATCAAATTTACTTTCTCGATTTCTACCTTTTCAGTCCAATGTTTTGAAGTCCATTTAAAATATTGTGTGTAATTTAATTCGCAATTATCATTTCGTTAGTTGACATGTGTTATATATCTTTTACCTATGTGGTGCGAGACAACTTCAACCTCACATATGTATTTTAGTATTAGTTTACTTTATTAGAATACATTGGAACATTAATACACGTATATTACATTATTCAAAATAGTTTTAGGGTATGTGTTCACCCAGTGTCGCGAACCTTGATATCTCTGTATTGATTTTTGCCATTATCTTCCAGAATCTACCCTTCGACATCCACAATAAGTACAAGCTGACAGCACTTTTCATAGTATTCTTTGGTTCTGGGCTTAGCGCACCTTTCTTCGTTTTAAGACACCAACTGCTGAAGAAGTAGAGGGTAGGTGTGATTAAAACATGATCTCTTAGTTTAACTTTTCGTATGTTAAAGATTCATGGTGATCAGTTAAACAAGTTCACGATGAAGTTTCTGTTTGTCAAATAATTGTCCCAATCCATCTTGATCATATATACATTGTCTTGTGCTAGATGTACTTTTCTTATTTGATCTGGCCTTGAGTTTATAGTAACGTGATAAATCTCATGGTATGTGCTCAAAAAAGCAAGTTCTCTGTAATTCGAAAATTGGTATTAATTAAATAAAGATAATTAATATAGTGAAGATTAGATAATTAATAATTTCTGTTTAGTAATGAATTGTAATGAAGTGGCAAATTACAATAATTTTTATTGAAGTTTTACCTGCATTGTTTGCTTACATTTTGTTTGTTATTATTGTGAAATAATGAGCAGCTTTGCTGATGTTTTTTTAATGGATTAATAGGAAGAGAATGCTAGAGTAATAATATCAACTTCCTTTTTCAGGTTTTGGTTCCTTTTTAGTAGTTAATTAATGCAATAAGAAACAAGAATACAGCAAGAGACCTCTCTACTGCAGTGTTAAAACTAATCTCTCAGCTGGAGATGTCTGCTTTAGCAGAATGTAAATAAAGTTTATTTAATACATCAATAAATTCTTGTTGGTAATGCTGTTGGTTTTTAGGAAACCTTGATTATCCTTTTTGGCTGCCTTTGATTTTCCAGATGGTTTGTTGAAATTGCCCAGTCTCAAAGAGATGAGGAAACTCATTGTTGGCAATTAAGTGATAATAATGCAACTTCATATTTAATTTCCTTTTGATAGCTTTTGTACCAATTCAGAGGGAAAGATGAAAAAATTAATTGAATAATTTTGACAGACATTTTAGTAACTTTTCATATTAATAGTCAAAGTACTGTAAATTTAAGATAGGCCAGATTTATTTTAATGTTTATTCTTGATGATTCTAAGGAATGTTTTGGACCACTGACCTTCTCACTGTTCCACAGAACCTTTTAAATTACCGTTTTGAGGGCTGGAGTAAGCCTATAGAGAGGAAAATTATTAGGTTGTAAGTAATTTTACCGCATGTTAATTGAGAAGCTTCATGTCGAGCACAGGGTCATTTTAAAGTAGCTGGTATAATAATGTACCCTGGAAAAGTATGCGTAGTCGGAAGGTTGTTGCATTGTGACTGAAGCTGTAAGTGTTTCTGTCACTGAATCAATGTTTTGATGGCATTGACAGTCAGTTTTTGTTTGATTTCTTCAAAAACCTTGCTAGTTTTCTTTATTTTCTTTTTAATTATAAGAAAAAATGTGCATTGCAATATGCAGGAGTATGAATATTGTTTTCCAGATTGTTGGGTTTGGCATCCCTTTTTGTGCTTTTTCACACCTCTTGTGTTGAAACTTTTCCTTTCATGTAATTTTTGCTATGTGAAAGACTTGTTTCTCAAAAAAATGCGTGTTGCAAATGGTCCTGTCCTTTTGGATATTCAAAATAGTCCAATCTTCAGGTAGTTTCACAGTGACGAAAGATTTTAATAAAACTTTTCAATTCCTAATCGTGTTTTTCATCCAGAAGGTTTTGCCTTTTTTTAATGAACTTTTCCTTTCCTAGGGTGATTCTAAATTTTTCACTTCATGTAGATCAAGAAGATTCAACTTATTTCTCAACATGTCCAATTTTTTCACATTCGTCTTCTTTTGTTAATTTTTTTTTTTTTTTAATTTGGAAAATTTGTATAGAACCATTACTGGTTTTGGAACAAGTGACTCCTTTTAATACAATCTGTTTGTCGCCCGGAAAGGTTTCGAGCGTTGAAATTACCTCAAAGTAGACGCTATTTGGCCTAGTTCCTTGCGCAAGTTTCACATCATTTAGGCATTGTTTTGTGGACAGTCTGCATTGAAGAAATGGCTGTTATATATAGTTTGCATATAATCTGCTTGGTACAACACATGAAAAGTGGCATGGTGAGTGTAGGGCTCTTTTGCCAGTGTTTTGCTGGCATCAGCATTGCAAAATTCTTTCAAAGCTTACCACATGAACTCCCATTATGAAGAATATGATGAAGTATTGTAATTATTATTAAGCAAACAGGCATTTTTGAAATTTTTTTTGTAAGTCTTTTCAAAGAAAAGTCACAATTTTCTAATTCTTCTGTATTATTAAGTGAACTACATAAAAGTTTGGAATATAATTTTCAAGCTAAATTTTTATTCTTAAAATAAGTCCTCTCAAAAATCTTCTGCAACAGTAAGTTTAAAGTACAAAATTAATAGTGTTGGAAATTGCATGACCTCCGAGACAAGAAAATCCCCAGAGGGGTACAACCTGAATGTGTTAATTACCTACGGTGTGAAATTATTTATGAAAAAGATGGGTGTCACCAGAAAAATCTGTCAATTCCAAGTAGTGTGGAAGTATATAAAGAATGCCCAAAAGAGAAATCTTGAAAGGCTAAGGAAAATATGAAACGATTGAACACTCAATGTGCCTAATTGGTAAAGGAAGATCCAATTCCAGTCGCATTAATTTTTGACTTGGTCTTCTTGGTTAATTTTATCTGCATCTCTCTTGAAGCAAATATTGTTAGTATAAATATATAGTAATTTGTATATAAATATTAAAGTAAAAATTTTATTACATCTAGTTGAAAAAAATTATACATGGGATGTAAGGAATTACAGATCTGTTATTGTCTTACATCTATATTTTGCAAATCTTATTTTAATAAGGCTAATTTCCCATAAACTAATAATTATGCTCATGAGAAAGGTTTTTCCATTATGACTGCTGCTGTTGATTTCTCTAATAAAACTTCAGCAGGTAAAAAAATTGATGTTTCAAAGGCATGTGATAGTGTACCTCACAAAATACTGGTACCAAAACCAAAAATGTAATAAGGAGTGGAATAAATGATCTTCGAGACAAACCCTGTACAGAAATTTTTTAGCATTCTGAAAATTAATTATTTACTTTTAAGTTAATACGGGTATCTGTGCTGGGACCTTAGCCATTTCATGAATATTGATTTTTCAAGCTGCTTTAATTTCTCTTTAATTGCTTGTGCAGATGAAACTGATAAGTAATGGGCCTAATTTGTCAGCTAGAAATTGGCTGAATCTAAAAGATTCAGTAAAAATCTACTTGTCATTGAATTAAAATTAATGACGCCCTAGGGGATGCAGGTACCCCCCCCCCTCGCAGCCAATGAGATGTAAAAAAATTAGCGTTTACTACAATTTCTAAAACAATTAGTCATTCAATGTATCATTGTTTATCTTACAAATTTTAACTATAAGTCAACAAATAAAAATACATTATATATTCAACCAATGAAAAATTCTAAGAAAGAAAAGAAATTTGACAGAACACAGGACCTGCAACATAGACTATTTATGAAAATAAACATTTTGATGCTAATGAAATATGATAATGTGTATGATAATAATAATGGATAAAATTATACCAACACAATGCTAAAGCATATGAACATTTTTTGTAAGTTCCCAAAAGTCTCGTACAGTAAAAGTGATGAAAACTGCAAATGCTGCTGTACGTAAATTGTCGTGCATGTACCAAACACAGCAAGAGCAGTGTAAGGGGAGAGCAAAAATAGTTTGGGCATTTTTTAAAGAAAAGCTTAATTTACAGTTGTAAATAACTTTTGTATTATATAAGTAATACATACTAAATTACAATTTGTTATGTAGGGAAAGACATGTGACTCCCTTTAATCACAAATATAAAAAAAAAAAAACCAATTGGAGACTTCATACGTGTAGAATGTGGAGCTAATGTTTTCTAGTGGTAGGGAGTAGATCGAAGATTTGTTTATTTATTTATTTGCTGTACTTTTATATTGAAGGAATAAATTGAAATCGTCATTAATGTTGCCATTGAAGAACTTATACTTTCTGTGACTTGTACCGAAAACACATTGAGGGGTAGAATATTTATTGGCCACTATTGTGTCAAGTAATCGAATCAGTGCCAGTATTTTGCAAAAGATCAAAGTCAGGGTTTGAAAATAAATTAATAAAATATAGAACAAATTGAAAATAGGTCATTGCTTGGGATATAATGAGTAAGAGGAATATTAGTTACCCAATGAGATACCCAAAACTAATTTTGATACTGTAGCCCAAGAATATTAAGAAAATACAAGGGGGGAAAAAAGTTATTAAGTACGGCTGCTACTGATACTTTTCCCGTATGTTTTTTTCTCGCGTAGGCGCGTTTCCTTGCTTTAGCAGGTGCAAGAACCTTTCTGGGGGAGGGGGTGTCTGCATTTTAGCTGAATTCCGATTTTTTATCCCCCAAAGTTGTAAGCCCCGGGGGTAGGGATGATGAGGTGATGATAGTGAGAGGTGAAGGGATCCATGCCCGAGGAGGTAGACGAGCCCGCGATCTTCTGGTCCGAGACCGCTACGGCACTTCTGCCCTAACGATTTCGGCCACCTGACCGGCTTTTACCCTAATATTTCATTCATTTTTATTGAAAATTGAAGGAAAATAGTTTGTTGACAATACTTTTACGTTCAAGGGGAAGAGCATGTGCTCCTTGGCCACCCTTAGAACTGGCCGTGTTGATATATTCCCGTGGATTTATTTCCTCCTGTGATATAAAATTATTCGAAGTTTAAATTTCCCTCATCGTGAAGACTGAACGACACATTGATCAGCAAGTGTGGGAATGACTCACGTGAATGATTGTTCCATGAAGACTATCTTAGTGACGAGTCTTATATTGAAGCAATGTGTGGGAAATACTGTTACGCCGTGATGGAAGTATTGACACTACGAAGTCTACAAAGATTAGACCGTGATTTACACGTACACGAAGTAAGCATAGTTTATTACCAGTGTAAGAGAATTTTTCTTCCACCTGCCGAGTCATGGAGAAACATGATATTATGACTCGTTCTTTTCAATTATAGTTTGACTCCGTTAGGTTCATGCATGTGAATAGTTCTTGGCTGAGGGGCGTGTATAATATTCTCTGGGTGTGGGTGGGTGCAGGCGTGCAAAGGGACGTGAGCGAAGATCCACGCGGGCACGATAGTTCATCGAAGAGGTAGTAGTAAGTTAATAAGTGGAGTGACATTTAAAAACATTTAGATAATGAAGTGAAATTTATTTTCGTCTAGCATGAGGATTTTAGAATATATATAAACGAATTAATATAATTAATCCTTCAGATCGAAAATTTGGTTACGTTGCTAGTTCGTGTGTTTGCATCATGGACAGGGTTAATATTTGTGTATTTGTGTTTTTAGGACGTGTCATACAAATTAAGTTGCAGAAATGGTTGTCGACAATGCTGCTGAAGCATCATCTGGGTTCGTAAATGTCTTGAATTTCTCTTTTAATTCTGTTTTACTAGAAGACTAGCTGATATTCAAAATTTCAAACGTATTTTAAACCCGTTTTGTTAGTTGTCATTGTTCGGTTTAAATGTTACATACTTCTGAATTAATGATTTACTTATTGGTTTCATTGATTATAATCAAATAAAATTGTTATGTGGAGAAAAGAACTGAATTTAAAATGAAGATATTTTTCTCCAAAATGATTTTCTTCATCTCATTTTAGTGATCAGCCAAAATCGAAGAAAGCTCTGAAGAAGGAAGCTAAAGAAGCTGCTAAAAGTGCCAAAAAGGAAGAAAGAAGACAGCAAAATGCAAGTTGAAATGTTATTTTACTAGCACGTGTGATGAATTAAACATTTGTGTACTAGGATCCATCGGTTTGATTATACACCTTCAGTTGACACCTTTTCCCTCCATATGATATGTTATGTATTGCAGTGTTACTTTATTTTGACGCTTGTCGGAATCAGATGTATACCTTATATAGCAGATCTCTCAAGTCAAATTCATATAGGATTTGCTCTGTTATAATAAGATCTCCCGCTATTTTAAATTGAGACTTATATGAATTTTGCATGAATGCAGATCTCATTGCATTGGGTTAGAATTTGGAATTGGTTTAACACCGCTTGTCATGTTCAAGGATAAAGAATTGCCATGAAATATAGAAGAGTGCTATTTGGTGAGGTCCAAAGAATACTGTCAATCATTTCACATCAGTGAAATATGTTGAAAACATTTTTTAATTTTGAAAATTGATGTTTGAAGAGGCCCCATCAGCAGAGCTGACTCAAAATATTGGAATACCAGCAAAAAGGTCCACACGAAATAGTGTTTTATGTCAAATTCCACGTGAAATAGTGTTTTATGTCAAATTCCACGTTTAAATTTTTGTTCATGGTTTACCATTATTTATATGTTGATTATCTTTTACATAAGATTTCTCAGAATTGCTTTTTATTCCAATGAGATATTCGTTGTCTTTCTAGAACAGTAATTTCTCAATAATTTATAAATGTTTTTCATAAAGTAACATTTTGTGGCACTGCACAAGGTAAGAAAAGAGTAGTTAAAGTTTTGAGAACAGTAGGAATTTTCTTATGTAATAATCTTAATGAACATATTTACATTGTGCTAGTAGCTGCGTTGTTACTCAAGTGTAGAGATGGAACAAATATTTCTGAATAATTCCAGGTAGGAACTCAAGATGAGGATGGAGAAGACTATTCAACTGGTCGCTATGGTAATCTTCCCATGATCCAGAGTACTGAACATGTCTCAAGAACATTTACACCTGTACACGACCTTACAGAGTCTCTTGCAGGTTCTGATGTATGGGTACGTGCACGTTTGCACACTAGTCGTGCTAAAGGTTTGTATTTCAAAAATTCATTTTGATTACCATTGTAAGTTATGTAATGACCACAATAGTAGTTTGAAGTGTAATTTCATCTCCTTTAAGATTTCTTATATGGCACTTTTCTGCTAACAGGATTTAAATACAATATTGTTATTTATGAAAATGATATTGTCTTCTTCTTCACAAAATCCACCAAATTTTGCTTTTAGAATAAATGATGTCAAAATATTTAAGGGTATTGTGAAGATAAATAATTTATTGCATTTCACTTGCATTGCTTTTCATAAGAAGGTGAAGTATTCTTAATGTGAACTGGTAAACTGTGAATTTTTAACAAAAAAAATACTCCTGTTGTCCAGCTTTGGTAACGAAAGAGTGTATAAATCTTGTTCCTGTGTGTATGTATAGTAAATTACTTCCTCTAACATGTATGGTCTGAATCTGTGTTTTGTGAGTCCTTGAAATGGATAAATCTATTGACAGCAAAACATCTGTCCCATTACTAGTGCCAAAATCATTCAGCCGATTTTCTCCCAAATTGATGTTCTTCAATTGTTTTGAAGAAACTCAAAGCCCTCTGAGTTTGAGAAGGATATTTTGATTTTTGAAGGTATTTTACATGAAATCTCGATTATATATTCAAAATTTCCTCAAAAATGGCTCTAATATTCGGATTAAACTTTGTCCTTGGGTATCGTGAAAGATGCTTAGGAAAATGGTGCATGTTTAATGGAAAATGTTCATTTGTTATTTGTTGGTTCATACACAATGCACTGCCATACTGCCGTTCATCAGATTGCGACAAACCTTTGCCAACTTATTGCTTGCACTTCCAGGAAGAATATAGACCTAGTACGTTGGGAATGCCTGTGCACATAGGCGCATGTTTATGATGATTTTAGGCTGACTCAAGTGCCCTGAAGAGGGCGCTCTACGAAACGGCGCTTGAAGCAACCCATTGCACACTGAAGTATGAGTATTAAGACGTCTTCATTGTGTATTCTGGCCCTGCGATTGTGAAATTTTGCCTCAGAGAGACAGATACAGGGAGAGACATAGAAAGAGACTCGGAGAGAGAAACAGACAGCAAGTAAAGTGTAATACATTGCAATCGCGAAGCATTACCGGGTCCACTAGTATATAATATGATTGATACATAAAAACAATAGTGCTTTTCCTATTCTTGGCTCCTACATAGCAAGTTTTTAAGTTTAAAAAATACCATTATTATTATTATTGTATTATTATTACTATCATTATCTTTATTAATTTTATTTTATCAATATTGTGCACGCTTTGTGGGCGTCTAGCCTTAATTTTATATTATGTACTTTTTAATTAGCATGTTAGTTGCATTTGCAATGCTCTTTTCATTAAATTTATGTAAGTTTTTAATTTAATTTGACAAGATCGTGACAGTAGAAGCACCCTCTAAACTTGAATGAACCTCTCAATCAATCAGAACAATGATCAGTTGAAATTGGATGTGATACAACATTGACATGCAAGATGAAGACAGTAAAATATATCCAAATAATTTGAATTTAAACAAATAATAGGGTGGTGTGAAATAATAAAAATTTTGTCTAGAATAACGAAATATGTTCTCCAGAGATCGGTTCTGAGTGTCACTCTGTTTTCCATTACTATCAAAAGTATTGCATCAGTAATTCGAGAGCCTGTGAAAGTATCGTTCTTCATTGATGACTTTGCCATATTTTGCTCCTCGAAGAGCATGCAAGTTATTGAGAGGAAGTTTGAACTTGTCCTCAACAAAGTGCAAGAATGGAGTGATAAAACTGGATTTTAAGTTCTTCACCTTCAAATCCAGGAGAATGCACTTCTGCAGAATTCATCACATCCATAATCATCCTTACCTTTTTCTTGGGGGTCATCAAGATCCCTTTGTTGAATCCTCCACTTTCCTTGGCCTGATGTTCGACAAGAGTTTAACATGACAAAATTGTATTTAAAACTTAAAGAGCTGATGAGATTATGAGTGCATTGTTTATGGATCAGCATCTTTGTCGACCCTTCGGCACACACAATGGACACCCTTCGGAATACACAATGCTGGTATCAGCGCAGGCACCTACCGCCTGAGTCGCATTGAATGTCTCTTAGCCGAGGCTGGTGAACCATCTCTGAACTGAAGGCAAGTTATTGCAATTGGTCCTTATGGTGCGAAAGTATTAGCTATAAATACTCCTTTGCACCAAGCAGTTTTTCACCCGTCACAGGACATCATACCTACTCAGATCATCATTACCCCATCATCTGGGTCTCCATCTC